TCAGCATAGATATTTTCACGTTAATGCACAACAGACATATGATAAAGTGCTTTAACGTAGCACTTTATCATAATATATCGATGCTCATGTTATAGAGGAAGGTTTAGATTGACAAAACATTTGATAAACGTGTTGTCGGAGATCGCCATTGGACGCGCAGATCGTCAATAATATTATTATCATTAATTTGAAATTATCTCTGTTCTCGAATCAACGATGATGAATTCTTGATATACCTTGTATGCTTGTATGCCTGATGCTTGTATATGTATTAATCTCCTATTGGCAAATCAGTAATCTGCCCTGCAAACATTAACTGGTAATATACAAGTCCTTACTGTTCATTTTGAAGTTAGATATTTTGCACGATGCATATTACTATATTGATAAAACACGAGAGATGATGAATAAACAATTAAAAAACATATAACTTGTGAGGTACAAGAACTATAATTGTTTCCTTTTGAAGATGGCATAGAGCCCGTTTCATATTACCATATTCATAAAAAAAAGGTCAGAGAGATGATAAACCGTGACGTTCCGAGCTTGGCTATACGAGGTTTTCGCTGTGAATGGCCTTAGCTGTAGATGACACGGCTGATGATTTTAAATAATTAATCAGTCACTCCTCGCGAGACGATGGAAGCGAAATCGATCCACTGCAATCTTAGAGTTAGATGACGAATCTTGTCTGATTTTATGCCATTCCTCCTTTTTCTCGTTTCAATTTAAGTTTCTAATCTTATTTTTACGAGGGATCTACTCTGCTGTTATCTCATGAGTAGTGTATCTTAATATTCTCATTTTTTCTCGCTTCCTTCTCAATGTCTGCTTTTATTTCCACGAGGGGCCCAGTCAAAGTTTATTTAATTTCTCGTTTTTTTTCCTCATCGTCCATTTTTTTTCTCGTTTCAGTCTAAATTTCTAATTTTATTTCTTTCGTTCCTTTCTTGACAAATCTACCGGGAATACTATTTTGTCACACTTGTTATTAAAAAAATGGTACCAAATTGGCGTATTCTCGTTCGGTATGATTTTAATGTTTGTGTAAGTAGAATTCAGTTTCAGTTTTTTCTTCTTCTTCTTCTTATAACTATCATTATTATTACTATTACTATCGTTATCATTACTATTATAATTATAATTCCGTAATGATATCTTTTTTAAAAGGTATATAACTCAAGCACAGACATATAACAATACATGTCTTAGGCAGACAGATATATGCGCAAAAGAACGTAGTGTGTAAATAGCATCATGGTCTAAGCGTGTGACGACTTCCCCCGGCGTTCACGGAGGGACCACGTGATCCGCGAATGAATGAGCTGAGAGCGAGAGCGGCCGGGAAAAGGGTGCGTTGGGGCGTCTCCCTGCTTCCAGGGTTTTGGTCGGGCAGAGAGAGATTTTTTTTTTTTTAATTTTCTATTACTCTCTCTCTCTCACTTTCCGTTTTTTTTTCTCTCTCTCTCTCACTTTCCGTTTCTGTCTCTCTCTTTCTCTCTCACTTTCCGTTTCTCTCTCTCACTTTCCCCTTCTCTCTCACTATGTCTGCCTGACCAGTTGAGGAATAAGGGGTGTAAAAATGGGGCGGGGCAACGAAATAAATACGTATATCTAAACATGCGCATGTGTTTATATATAGATAGATGTATGATAACCT